TCTGTGATTCTATGTAATTGTCTCTTTTATTACCACTTGTTGTGAAGGACCTCTGTGCTTGAAATGTAGATTTTGCGTTTTCTTACGATAAAAGTTCTCACTTTTACCAGATTAAAAGCAGTTCTTACCAACAACCTATAATTAAATGCTGAGAGGCTTTTTGTGTGTTTACCTTCTTTTATTTCATTCTCTTCCTGAGATCATAAACCCCCTATTTCAAATTTCAGACCAGTGCTGTACTTACCGAGGTCAATAAGGATGGCATGTTGCTGGGAAGTGAGTTGTTTTAGGAGCTCTTTGTAAGGCGTGTCCTTTGGTTGCTGTTTGCTGGGAAACTGGTGTTTAAGATGGTATTGCTCTGCCAGAAACTTCCAGATCTCCCCGCGGTGGTGACGTGGGACCCCTGAGAGAAGTCAGGGGTTAGAAGAGGGATCTGTACTGGTGCTAAGGGTTCAGCTATAGTTGAGTTAACAGGATTGAGGAACTGGAGATTCCTATCTGCTAGATCCATCTCTGTTATCTCCAGTAGACCAGAGAAGCAAATCAAACTACATTCTTACACTTCCTCAGCCAATTAAAGACATCAGCATCTTAATGGGAGAGATTTAAGATAGAAACAGGACTCACAAGTTTTCTGAGGGTTTCTCACTTACATCCAGTCTGAGGAGAACTAGAAGAGGCAGCGAATACCTGTCTCTGAAATGTTATATGCCTATCTCCCATTTTTCCATGTGAAGTGCACAATAGAGCACCACAACAGAATTAATTAACATTTTTCACTAATACAGCACTGGCACTGTTAGGAGTAAGTTTGGGGAAGGTAGGACACACACCTCTCAAAAGTATAAATGAGTACAAACAAGGTGCAATCTAAAGACTAGAGCAGAAGGCAGGTAATCAGAATGAAGTTCTGCTCTGTTTCTAGTTCTGCTCTGAGTTGACTGATACTTGTAAAAATGTTTTAAAGCTTGAATTTCCTTCTCTATAGAAAGGGATGACTCTACTTAACTATTTCACACAGGTAATGGCAGCCTTCCTTTCTATCTATATGCAAAGCTCTGAAAGTAACAGAAAGGTTAAAATGTATACTTTATTCAGCACAATACCAGGACTATCAAATCATCCACACAAGAAATCAATATATTATTGTTTGGGAAAGTATTCTATCTAATCCACAATGTACTGGAACCAGACATTACAGTTTGAACTAACTTACGGTTTAAAGTTTTTTTTGGAATGCTCTTTTTCTTTTATGTAACACATGGATGACAACAACAATAGGAGGAATCAAAATTAACTCAAGCATACGATTTACATGGAAAGGCAACAAAACATTAAGCAATTTCACTGCTTTCTATAAGGCAGGGCCTATAAGCACAGAAGGATGTGCATTTATCTCTGCAATACTTACTTTTACTACACTATCCTAATCCAGAGACAACTGCTTGAAAATGAAATGCTAGTAGAAATGGGTAATATTATTTTGGGAAACTTAGACCCACTTATTGGAAAAGTCTCCAACATGAAACAGTGAGGGGAAAGTCCTGTTTTGGACACTGAACGAGTCAGGATCTCCTCTCCAGATACACATCCATAAGTTTCACTGGGGCTGAAAGTGTCATATAGGGTAGAACTGGCTTAATAGTGCACATTTACAGCTGCAAAATTACACATGAATTAAAATTCCCTTTAAGGAAATAGTCCACTATTAAGTTTATCTCTATATGCTGCATCGTACATGTAAAATAAAATTTCCTACTTCCTAAATGAAAGATGCACTATATTTCAACACCTACTAAAACATAGGTCAACACTATCTATTTGTTATCCTAATTTAAGCCCCATGCTTACTGAAGCCTGCATTTCTTACCTCTTTGCCTTGCTTACTCAAGTTATTTTTAATGGTTTTGGTCTAAAATAGAATTTGCTAAACTCAATTTTAGTGCAGTTTGGATTTCTGTGTACGTATGAAACTTGACATCACTTTGCTCTAAGAATTTGGACACAACTGGGCTCCAGGGAGCAGAGCATAACGATGGCATCAAGAGGTTGGGATAATTTCCTCATCTCCTGGCTACTTCTATGTGCTTCTCATTAGCAATCCACCCTTAACCTACAGGAGTGGAAGGAATCCTGTGATAATAAACCTTCCTTATTCTACAGGGATTTGTGCTTGAGGGGTTCAGTATTCCTAGAAATCTAGACTTACCCGCTCATCTTAAATGGACCGTTTGGTTTAACTTGCTTGAATAATTGCACATAGGCAGGTGCAATATTTAAAATATTAAATTTCTGCTAGGGGTGAATGCTTGACACTTCCTTTACGCGTTGGAAAGCTTTGTATAGAGCTACAGAAAGCTCCTTGGAGTAACCACTGGCTACACAACACCGAGCAATAACCCAATTTCTTAGAACATTTAAAAACCATCCTTGGCTTACGTTCCTTTCGATGGAGAGGAAATCAGATTGCAACAACTCTAACAGACAGAGGTACTGTACTACTCTCCTGTAAGGACAAATATTACTCCAAAATGAGTACTAAAATGAATATTCCAGCTACTGCTGAAAGGGACCAGTACTTGCATACACACAGCTTGGTTAGTCACAACCTGAGGAACAGCTCTAGTGAGAACCTGGTTGTGAGGAGTGGTTAAAAGGTCACCTTATGGCTTCTGGAATACAATTTATCATTTTCAACATCTCCCAAATAACAAACTGTGCTCACCTTGCCCAACAGCGGAGTGTATTTTTTCTGCATCAAATTTAATCTTTGACCTTCCAGGTGTACTCAACATTTTTTCCCAAATCAAAGTCACATCTTTTAAGCACGGTGTGATTTCTTCGTAGTCGAGTTTCAAACGTCTGTTCTGCAAATTGTTTTCTGAAGCTGGGAAGCGACAGAACGAAGGCACTAATTAATATAATTTACTTTTGTAAAAATGGATTAATTTAACTTAGAAGAACAATCCACCAAAAATTAAAACCTATTAATTCTGAAACATCACATGTTTAAGCTTCTGTGATTGTGGTGTGTTTTGGTTGTTGTGGGTTTTGTTGGGTTTTTTATTTGGTTGGTTGATTTTCAGATTTATTTATTTTGGTTTTAAGATATTACATCCAATATTAAATGTGCTTTGCCTGTTAAATTAATTATTTGGTTGGTTGATTTTCAGATTTATTTTGGTTTTAAGATATTACATGCAATATTAAATGTGCTTGGCCTGTTAAATTACCTTCCCTAGAGCTAGTCGCCTCTTAAATGTAAAAAAGCCTGACAGGTAATGACTCATGAAACAAACACAAGTTTTCCTAAATGATTTTTCAGGTTCCCAGCTCTTAAAAGAAATTAGACCCACATGAAATAAAAATACAGACCCAATATAGGAATCTGTTTCTTATGGCATTCAGCTCCATAGCAGTAATGACTAAATAGAAAAATGACTTTCAAAGGTGATCATTCACACATCTGTTTTTAAAGACCACATAAAAAAGAAAGTTCAGTATAGAAAATTACAGAACCCTGAACACAAATAGGACCATAAACGCTATATATACTCTCAAAGTGTTCACTGAAGAAATCAGAACAAGGGTCAATGTATAACTCAGCCTTATATTAGATGTTTTAGATGCATTGTAGTATTGGTGATTTTCTCAGATTACAATTTATAAGAATATTGCACCGTGATGTCATGTTATCTAAATGGGATTAAAAAAAATGAATCAATAGTCAGGAAAGGTTCAAAGAACCATGGCAAAAATGGAAATTAATTCTGTGGCTGAGTGTTAACTCCAAAGCTGCAAAGTGGAATGAGAATTTCAAAGGGACTCCTGGCAAAGCTTTTAGGGTTTGTTTCTGTGGGGTTTTTTTTAGTGCTAGAAAGTTCCTGGAAAAAAAACAGTTTATTAATGACATTCATCTAAACTGATAAAGCACCTTTGGGGACAGTGGATGAATTTGTGCAGGTCACGAGACCAAAAAAAAACAGAAGAGGGTTTTCAGCTCAGATTGAGAAAGAAGGTGCAGATGAGACAGAAAGACAGCTATTCTTAAAAGGCACAAAATGCTCAAAGAAAATGCTATCAGAACACTGAGACGAAGCTACAAAGAGAGCACTAAGGAGTGAAATAGAATTTCAAGGCCAGGTTGGATGGGGCTTTGAGGCCCCTGGTGGGAGGTGTCCCTGCCCAGGGCACGGGGTGGCACGAGATGGAGCTTTAAGGTCCCTTCCCACCCCAACCAGTAGAGAAGAATTCAGTTCCTGATAGTGATTGCACTGAATTCCTTGTCAGAGCTTCTAGACACCAGGCTAAAAAAACCCAGCCATGGAAAAACTAAAAGAGTACCAATTAAGATCAAGTAAACAAAGTGATTAAACAAAATAAGTGTAAATTGTCACCTACACTAAAGAAAGCTGAGGGAGATGCTGCTGAGCTGATTTATCTGCACTTTCCTCAAATATTTTGTATAACGTTTTGTCCAATCCACTGCCAAGGCCACAAGAGGACTTGCATGGCAGTGGGATGTAATCAAGAACTCCACCAACCTTGTAGCTTCTGGTTTTCCTTCTCCATTCTGAGGAGCAGTATCTGCTGGATAATGGCTTTCTTCCACAGCTCCCGAAGCTCCCGGGGCGTTCGCTTCCTTTCTTCCTTCACTGGCCCAAAGGGGCCATCTTCACACACCGGTTCCAACGGGGACCTCGGGGGAAGTTCTCCCAATTCGGAGTAATCTTTAAAAGAGAGAAGCTGTTGTGAACTACTTGGATTTCAGAAATAGGTGGCTGAAGGGACACATTCTAAAGACTTCATGAATATACATATATATCTACATATACACACATAAACATACCTATTTAGGAGATAGAAATACCAAGCAAGGTTTCCAAATGACAGTTTTAAGCAGATTTATAAGCTACTTCCAGATAAGAATCAAGCCTAGAACCCTTTTTTTTTTTTCTATAAGCTGATAAAACATTGTACCATGACCACGGCTTGCTAATCACAGCTTTACAAGGAGAGAACTAAAAAGGAAAAGGCAAGTTTGGGAAACTGCAAAAAAATCCAACCTACAGCTGACACTCAGCAGGACTCAAAAAGCAGATCAAAGGCAAACAGAGCACCCACATAATTTGAAGAATAATCACTAAACTGTGTTTAAACAAAGAAAACACACACCCTTAGCTGCACAAACACACCACCACCTAAGGCCATACCACGGGAGGATTACCAGTTCCTTGAGCAAACACAGGGACAAAGGGAGAGGGGAATCTAAGACACGTTTGCTCTCACTTGGAATTTTTAACCATGTCATAACCTTCTGCACCTTTTCTTCCGGCTCCAGATGATCTACCACAAAATGTCATCTTTTGGTCAAGCACGCAAATCTGAGTAACTCTAAGTAATTCTAAGAAGACTGAAAACACTACAAAAGAAAGTGAACATTAAATAAGTCTCAGGCAAATTGAAAAATCTTTTCTTTTTCGAGAAAAGAGAAACAACACTGGTTTAATCAAGTTCTCAACATCAGAGGTGTAAGTTCTTATACTTTGTTTTCTTAATGCCTGCTGCAGTGTCACTGAATTTTGTTTCATACAGCTTCTCTGAAGGCTCAACAGTCTTTGATATAACCCGTATCTAGAAGAAAAATGACTCAATTCACCACCTTTAAAATGAAGGGTCAAACCCACCCGTCTCTTCCTACCAAATTCCAAAGGGGAAAGCATTTGTGACAGCACTTCTTCAGCCACATGGAATGGCTGTGAAATATCTCCCCGAGGACAAGCTCATCAGTTACACCTGCAAGAAAATGCTCTAAAAAAAACACCTTACTGCAACAGAAACCCTTCCCTGGCCTCTCCAGCTGAGGACAAGCACATCAGTCCATGCTATTTCACACAACTCCTGGAGAAAGGACACTTGCAGAATCACAGACTGATATGGGGTTGGAAGGAACCTCCTGGAGATCATCTCCTCCAACCCCCTGCCACAGCAGGGTCACCCACAGCAGGTCCCACAGGAACGTGTCCAGGAGGGTTTGGAATGTCTCCAGAGAAGGAGACTCCACCACCTCTCTGGGCAGCCTCTGCCAGGGCTCTGCCACCCTCACACCAAACAAGTTCCTCCTCATGTTCAGATGGAACTTCCCATGTTCCAGTTTGTGCCCGTTCCCTCTTGTCCTGTCCCTGGGCACCACTGAGAAAAGCCTGGCCCCATCCTCCTGACACCCACCCTTGAAGGATTTATAGGTGTTGATCAGATCCCCCTCAGCCTTCTCCTCTCCAGACTAAACAGACCCAAGTCCCTCAGCCTTTCCTCAGCAGAGAGATGCTCCAGGCCCCTCAGCATCTTTGTAGCCTCTGCTGTCCCCTCTCCAGCAGTTCCCTGTCCTTCTGGAACCAGAGAGTCCAGAAATGGAACAATTACCCAGCATGGTAGCTCAATGGTCCATTTCTCTAGCACAGCTATAAAGATTCTGAATTAAACACACACACAAATTATCTCATTTCTACAAACTACCAAAATAAGAAGGTTTTCACCCCTTCAGACTCTGCCCCCAAAGCCACCATATATTGACTCACATGGTTCATATGCTGCTATTCTCTTCTTGTTTGCTGCAAGGCACTGGCCCAGCTGAGCTCAGGTGACTAATTAAGAATGGAAATGCTCACAGCTGTTGGCTTTTTTTTTTGCTTCTCTGAGTTTTGCCACTGTCAACCTCTTCCTCTCGAAGAGTCAGAGACAAACAGGGTGGGTCCACACCCACCCCTTTCCTTATACAACATCTATTCGTTTGTTACCGCAGGTAAATACAAGGGCTAAACATTACATATAAAAATAAATGCTACATTTTCAGCCAGCAGCACAAATGAAACCTTTGGAAAGTTGCACTCTGGATAGGATTGTGGATGCCCACGCGTTGGGGACCTGCAGCATTTCAGAGAACAACAAAATTCCTGGGAATGTCAATGAGGCAAAGGATAAATAGTTGTCACTTTAATGGCAATCACCATTTGTTGCAAAAAGAAGTAGGAGAGAGTGACAGCAGCATTCCAAAACACAGCTGGTTCTGAAAAATATCAATACACTGGAAGAATCATAATTTTATATTTATCTTAAAGAAACTGGGAAACATTAATTTTATCTTTTTTTTTCTTTACAGGTAAATAGAAAGACTTTTGTGGGCTAAGATCTGCAATTATAGAAGAGGTTTAGGTAAATGTCACCAGGTAGAGAAGGAAAACACCCTTGATAATCCTCAACTTGTGGTGATAATTAAAGGAAAGTTATTTTGATTTAATTGTTGGTTTTGATGCATGCCCTATACTGTCAACTATGTTCTGTACATAGAGTAGCTTTCATGCCAGTTTTTCTCAGGACAATGCTGGTAGAACTGCCTTGATTTGCTTGAATAAAAATAATTACTTAAAAAAACCAAACAACATCTTGAAGGAAAGTTTTTCATTTTCTCTAAGGCTGCATTACACGCACTAACATTGCCATAAGAAAGTGGAATTAATGAAAATGGTCATCAAATTAATGCAAAAAGTAAAAGTGATCCAGACAGATACACCCTTACCCACCCTACACTATCTGTAGTTTATTCAATTCTTAAAGCATTCAATATGGAATGCATGTAAACAAATCTCTTCTCACCCTACACATCCTTTCAGTGGTTTATGGATCTCCTTTAGAGTCAGATACTGTGGTTTTATGCACGTGTAGATGCATTAGAAAATAGCAGAGGATCTACAGAGACAGTTTATGGTTACCCACCTGCAAATAAAACAGGCTGCCACAGCACATGGAAGGAAAAGGATTAAATACATTGCATTCCTAAAGCAAGAATGAACACATCCAAGACCTAAAAATCTTTCTGGTTTTAACATGCACATTCTGTTCTCTCAGTACAAATTTTGTGGCTTGGTCTTCAAGTAAAATATCACTTTTAATTTATTGTGGGTGTTACTTCTTGTCCTCCAGTGGTCAAACTTACTGTGGCAACACCTGGAGCACTCCGAAGCATTAATTACTCAATCCATGATCCTGCTCCCGTTTAGGCTGCAAATTTCTTGTCTCTTGCTGACTAACCTGATAAGATCAGTATTTGCTAAAAGAAATTTCACTCACAATGCTTAAGGCTATAAAAGAAAACAGAAAGGTTACAGAATTCTGAAGAGTTATGATTATCAACCCTACCTCTAATGCTCTGTGGGACACTCCTAGGCTTGATTTTGCCTCCCAAATGGCAGCTCTTTTTCTATCTTTTCTTTCCTCTTACTGTTTGTGGACATCTAACAGAAAGTCTAAAGTCTACTCTGATAACCACATCCCCAACCCGCCTTCCTTCCCATCTCCACGCTGGCGTGTAGCAGGATGTAGAGAAACCCAAACCAACCCGTTTAACTGCTCATGTGGCTCATCTAAAGTTTACCAAGTTGCATCAGCTGTTTGGCTGGTGAAGGAGGTGGAATGTGCATGGAATCCTTCAAAACAAAGTGAAAAAAACCCAGGTATTTTGGTAAGTCAGCACAAACCCACGTCCATGAACATACAACGAGGTGATGGACAGACATGCCACCCAAGATCCACAACAGACAAGAGTAGAAATGCTGGAACAAGAAATTGTGTTTCATTATTCTGCACAAACCATCTGGAGAAGAACGGAGAAAGCAAAGATACACAACAGAGCAATTCAACCGAACGCAACCGGGAGCTCACGTTCCACTGAATCAAACTGCCACGTGTTAAAAACCAAACAATTCACAGCCTTCAAACCTTTCTGAGATTAGTAAGTGCACTCGAACAGGATCTGGAGACTTCAGCACACACAGAAAGACTGTTTCCCCGTTCATCTGCCAACGGCGACACCTTTTGTCAACTCATATTCCACATTTGACCCATACTCCTCTCAAATATCTTGCTTCATAGAAAATTTCACTTCCATAAGGTTGTAGTTCTACCAGCCCACCACATATCTACTCCTTATGGTTCAGGATTGTGCAGGTTGACTCAATTTTATTCTATTATATCACCACATGGGTGATTTTCCATTTGAAGTTCATGCTTGGACCACCCTGCAGAATCACTCCTCTGCACGTTGCACTTCTACAAGCCCGTGGGTCCAAATTAAGAATTCCTTGAGGAACATCACTGGGAAAGCCACCAGCTTCCCTGTACTTGTGAGGACTTGTGAAAAGATGGCTAAAAACTACAGTTGTGACTAAATCAGACGGTATTTGCCTGGTAGTGACATAAACAGGAAATGTCATTCCCTCCAGAAGAAGCTACAATAAACATAGAGCATTTACTGGGACCTGTGGAGGACGCTGAGGCATTCTAATAGTGAGTTATTAAAATGTTGCCTTAAACCTTATTTTTTTAGGAAATTTCATTTGTAATTGACTAGGAAAGAAAGTAATTGATCAAGAGTTTCTTTTTCAATCTCAGTGTTAAAGACTTTACAAAAACAACAACAAAAAAAGGAAACCCACTAAGAGACACCACACACACAAAGTAAAAAACATTAGAAGTGACAAACCCACCTAAAAGCCTAAATTTTAAAAACACTCTTTCAGAGGCACTTAGTCTAACCAACCTCAAACACCAAAAACAAGAAGACAAGACTCATCTTTGACTAGAAACTGAAACGCTTCACTTTTTATAGGAAGCTAAAAGGGAGGAGGCTCAAATATAATACGGCACCGCCATCCTCGCTACGGAGTTGTTCACA